TATTGAATATATATTAAATATATTTCATATTTAAATATTTTAAGATATAAAATTTGACATTAACTTTTCATGTTGATTTTAAAGTTTTTAGCTTGGTTGATACTCTCATTAACAGGCCACAGATACAATTCACTTGGAAAATTTTGCTTTTATTTTCCAGAAATCACTATTTCTGAGTTACTTTATTGCATATGTTTCTGCAGGATAATTTTTCTCAGGAAAAATACTATGAACATCATCAGATGTTGCAACACCCTTGAGTCATTTCGAAGGCTGCTGGGTTTCATTTGTTTGAGTTTTTTAAGCAAACTCCAGCAGATATAAAAAAGGAGCATTTCAAGGGCAGTAGGCTGGTGTTTAGATACCAGTTCAGTATAGACTAACACTAATTTGTGTGTTTGGGTAAAGGTCCGTTCTTCCTAATTTACAGAGTATTTTCCTGCTCAGAACCTCTCTGGTTCAGTGAGGAAGTGAATTCCCTATAGGAAATTGTTGCAGATTTTATTAAAGGAGAAAAAAAATCTTACTTTGTCACCTTTGAATTTGTATTGAGAATAATAATCAGTGGGGAGAAGTCATGGAAGGATAATGGAAAAATCTTTAATTTACTGTAAGTATCTGTAACTATCTTTAACCAGAGCCTGGTGTATTTGAGATGTCATAAATGTTATAAACATAATGAATGTAATGCAGATACTCAACTCAGGTCTTCAACAGTGAGGAAAAGAAATTAATCCCTTAAGGTGAAGTTGTAATTGAGTCTACAAGTTTCTAAGGATTTCAGAACAAACTCTGAATAACTACATAATATAAAGTAATATTTAAAATAGAAAAGCACAGATTTTTTTCCTTATGTCTTTTTCTCAACTTACTTGTGCATATAGTACAGATAAGGCAGAGTGGAATTTGCGGGGTTTGTGTGAAGGATTTAATTATGTGTAATAAACTGCTAATGTAGGTTAAAACGATGATTTCTCTGAGACACTAATAATTATGATTCATTGTATCACATTCCTTAACAATCATGCACTTTTGGCAAGGCTTGTGGGTCCTTTTGTGCAAATAAAACATTGACAACACTTGCAGAGAATAACAATGAATGAAAAAATGGGTTTGAAGACACGTGATTGTAGAGTCAACTTAAGCCCTCCTTGCAAGGAGAGCCTCACTGGATGAGGTGTTTTGGCAGAGAGAAGATGTTAGTTATCAAGAACTGCTACAGAATCCCAGCCTGGCAGCCCACCAGAAGCGTACCTTTTCTGGGGCAGCTTTGTTCTGAGGCCAAAGTCTGTCTGCGTGCTACGTGGACATTAATCTTTGGCCAGTGATAGTATTAGGTCAAAGAAGGAAAAAAATAGAAGCAGTGAAACGGGGGCAGCCACCAGCAGTGCTGAGACCAGAAGACAGAAGCAGGTGATGCCTGTTCTGGTGGCCTGCCAGAAAGAAGCTGGGCCACCGATCCCAGGCTGACTTCAGAGAAGAAACAGCATTGGGGGAAGAACTTGCTGGAAAAAATCAGAACTGAAACACCTGAGTGAGAGGCAGACTGCTGTCTTTCCTGTAATTTTGTGGAATGCCTCACAAAATAAGGGATGCTTTTGCCTGCTTTTTGACCTGTTTCTCACCAGTAGTGGATATGATCTGTGCTGTTGGGTGAACATTTTCACTTGAGGGCAGAGAGAGGACCTTGTATTTCACAATTCCCTGTTTTTCCTGTGCTGTAGTCAACAGGCAATTCAGCATGGATGCCACATAGGCGAAAAAGCGTAAACAAGCAGTAGTGAGTTTTGGTGTATCATTCTGCTGCAAATATGTGAAAAAGGGGCAACGTATGCCACCAGCGCTCATGACATGACAAGCATGTGTGTGTATGCAGGAACTATTCTGAGAAGGTGGTAATAACCAGTTCCTGGTTATTAACTCCCTTCCATGACATATACTTGCATTTTCTTCAAACTTTCAAATACTGCAATACTACAGTGTCTGTAGGTCATGGTGTTACATCTCAAAGAAGCCTGGGAAAGATGAAGATATATCTGTGATATTTTATATGGCTGCATCCTACTTAAACATCACACTTGCTTTGGCCTAGATTATTGTTGACATTCAGTAGTGGGTCACAACTGTGGATGCTGTAGAAGGTACAGGTCCTTTGGAGTTCCTTGCTGGTGTTAATATCAACATCTTCCCAACAAAACAAACTATAAACAACTGATCATACTTTTAAGCTTGCCACTGAACCAGATTAGTGCAGAAGAGGTAGCAGAAACTGTAGCAAGTTTCAGCATTCATCATAAACAAGACTATTTGGGCAAATTACTTCTTACCTGAGAATACACCTCCACCTTATTCCTTCACTCTGCCTCTCTGTTAATTTTCTTATCCGTCATAGAAGAGAATACTTTAGGAAGGGAAGGTTTGCTATTAGCAGCTTGGAAAAATACTTTTGTTTTCTTCTCATATATTTCCACCAAGTTTGTTTCTAGTCATGTCTTGGTGGTCTGAAATAATATTAAAATCACGTAACTCCCACCTTCTGCTCAAGCTCACAAGGACCAGCATTCCATTTGCAAACAAAATGTCTGTAAGACTCTTTCCACTGTTCTTAGGAGGGGAACAGGTGACAGAACAAACTTCAAGAAAGATAAAAGAGGATGCATCATCCAAGGAGATGAAAGCTGCAAAATGTCATCAAGACAAACGTTTCTGGGTTTTCCCCAAACACAGAACTGACCTGCTATTTTCATTGCTTTTCAGGGCCATTTATCTCAGCAGACACAAGGACCCATCAAAGAAGTAAACACAGATGCTTGATG